GAGATCATTGATCAGCTCGAGACACAAATCGCGTATGCTCAGGGCCTGCTCTCACGAATTCACGGCACCCCACGAGCCGAGTGTATGTCCTGTCCATGTATTCGATGTAAACCGGTGCTGACCGGTTTCACAGACCCTGCTCTCTTGCAGCAGGTTGAGGTTCCCATTCGCAAGGAGATTGAGCATGTCGGCGAGTTGTCCAAGCTCGCCTCCAACCACCCTTACTACAGGTACGTTATTTGCGGTTTTCACAGGTGGCACCGTGTGTCTGACCCGATTCCCAGGTACAACTACAGGTGGTCCCACAAAGTACAGGATGCTATCTCGACCGTCCTCCTGACTGCCTGGATTGGTGGTATGGCAACTGCGACATCTCCCGGCGAGCTTGGTCGTCTCTTGACGCTCGAGCAGGTTGGCGACATCTTCCAAGGTCTGTTTGTTCTCCCATGCCGAGGGTCCAGCTGCGATACTGACCCTTATCCTTTAGTGCCGGTCAACCTGAAGGACCGCGATGCCTTCCACATCACCACGGAGGAGTACCTGCTCGCAGTTACTAACCTTACTGACGAGCTGAGCCGCTTGGCCGTCAACGCAGTGACCCTGGGCGACCGCGAGCTGGCCGTGCGTATCAGCGCCTTCGTCAAGGACATTCACGCCGGCTTCCAGCTTCTGAACCTGAAGAACGACATCCTCCGCAAGCGTGTTGATAGTGTCAAGTATCATGTGAAGAAGGTCGAGGATGTTGTGTACGATCTGACTCTGCGCAACTTGATTCCTGTGAAGGAGCAGTCTGCTTAGGTGTGGGCATGTTGCACTTTGGCTCATGGTTGGTATCAGCTAGTACAAGCTGTCTTTATCCACTACCCGGCAAAACTTGAGATAGGGTAGACGTGTTCTTAGGACAATCCATGAAGACATCAGGTCTCCTCTGGCCATTCACTCCGTGATTTCGTCAGGGTCAGGGTTAACATGCATCAAGAGGGTTAGGGTTACTGGTGATGAGTTCTTGTGGGGCCGTCCTGTAACTTCAAGCTCCGCCGTTGTCCAGATTTTGTTGTCCCGTCTTCTAACTCCTGCCTGCTCTCATCCGCCCAACATGCCACTCATAGATCCAGTAACGATGTCATCCTCAATATCAAAGGCCTCCAAAGGTCGCTCCGGCTCTTCAACCCCGAAAGATAGCTCGAATGTGCCTCAATCGCAGACACAACTCCATCCAACACAGACACTTCCAACACCAGCAGCACAAACAGCCCGTCATGCTCTCCCTGCGCTACAAGCAGCGCTGTTCATCTTCTGCTTCCGAAGCCTCGTTGCAAACCCCGTTTCGACGATGTGGAGCACACTGCCCTTCGTGGCCCTAATACAAGCCGCCTACGCCCTTGTCTGTCTGCCAGTCGCAGGGTCATCGAGGCCCAGCAGGAAACCCCGGCCAGGGGAGAAAAGGAAGGACGGTGGAGGTTCCAATGCCTTTGTGGTATGTATTACTCTACCTAAACTTACCTGAAAATAGTCAGCTAACGAACCGTAACAGGCCGTCCTCCTCTCGCTGCTACTCTCCGTTTCTATAACGCCCTTCTTCCACCTCGCCATGATCCTCTTCGGCGCACCGTTCCTCACGCACCTACAACACACGCTCCTGTGTGCCGCACATCTCTCGATCCTCACGTTATTCCCGCTCTTCTACATCCACGGTGTCGACCCGGCCGCTTGGCTTGCCGTAGCCGCGTTCCGCGCTCCATTCGACGAGGCGGTTGGCGGACTCGTGGGCGGACTGGTGGGTGCGTGGCTCGGTGCTGTGCCGATACCCCTTGACTGGGACCGGGAGTGGCAAAAGTGGCCGGTTACGATTCTCTGCGGTGTATATCTTGGGTATTTTGTCGGCAAGCTCCTAGGCGGGACATTGGTCTTTGGGAAGAGGTTCTGAGGCCGGCAAGGAAGGATGGATAGAGCATGAAACAAATCCACGCCTGCCCGCGACTGGGCTCCGTCGCCGTTCATCTACTTCAGCCTAGGCATGATGAGCGTTGCGGGTGACTTGCTTTGGCAGAGGCATGAGCTCCTTCACAGCAGCTTCGAGCGAAATCCCGGAAAGGAGGATCGCTAGCCGGTAAGGGGCATTACGAAGAGGCAATCCGCTTTCTTAGGAACACTGGATTGCGTTTCTCCGTTGCCGTTGGTGTTATAGGGTGTAAGGAATATTAGGGGGAAGAAGGAGTCGAGGATTGGTTGGAATGGTGGCTTTGCCAACATGGTGGTGGTCCTTGCAGGGCACGAGAAGGCAGTGTAGCAGATGTATTATATCCTCGATACCCAGGTCGACCGTTTGTGCTTGGATCCCTAACGAATAGACACGACGTCTCTCACATCAGATGCTCACGAAGAGACATCGGAGGTAGGTAAACCCCGCTCTATCGCCGTGTTACGGACAATTGAACTTGGAACTTCCTATGTTAGTGGGGCAGCGCATCGATCTCCAACGATTCAAAAAGTCGCCGGATCGACCTCCCTGTCAAGCTGTCCTGCAAGCGCTGAGTCACAAATGCACAGCGTGGACGAATCTCCAGGTCCGCGATGATGCTGACCAGCTCCTGAGTCTTATGCCTATCCGACCCCTCCGTCCTTAAACCACAGACATCCCCAATGGCTTCACACGAGACGATGCCAGCCGCTCCGGCCTCGGCCTCGGCCCCAGCTGCGGCGCTGAAGAAGGACAACAAGAACTACAAGGGATTCGTTGCTGGCGTCTTCTCCGGCATAGCCAAGCTCTCCGGTACAGCTGGTGGCATCCTCCATACCAAATCCATACTGACAATCTCCCAGTCGGCCACCCCTTCGACACAATCAAAGTCCGGCTCCAGACCTCCTCCCTGTCGCGCTTCTCCGGGCCGCTGCAATGCCTCACCCAGACCGTCGGCAACGAAGGCCTGCGCGGCCTCTACAAAGGCGCCACCCCTCCGTTGGTAGGCTGGATGTTCATGGACAGCGTCATGCTCGGCTCCCTGACCGTCTACCGCCGCCTCCTCCGCGATAACCTGTTCAACCCGCCCGGCCACCCCCTACACGATCCCCTGCGTCCCCTCCCGGCCCACGGCCACGGCCTGGCCGGCATCCTGGCCGGCGGCACCGTCTCCATGATTGCCGCACCAGTAGAACACGTCAAAGCGCGACTACAAATCCAATACGCGGCCAGCAAGGCGGACAGGCTGTACAAGGGCCCCGTCGACTGCGTGCGCAAGATCTACTCGGCGCACGGCATATCCGGCGTCTACCACGGGCTCGGCGCCACGCTGCTGTTCCGCAGCTTCTTCTTCTTCTGGTGGGGCAGCTACGACGTGTTCAGCCGGTGGATGCGCCAGCACACGGACCTGTCGGCGCCGGCGGTCAACTTCTGGGCCGGCGGGCTGAGCGCCCAGGTCTTCTGGCTGACGAGCTACCCGTCCGACGTGGTCAAGCAGCGCATCATGACCGACCCGCTCGGCGGCGCGCTGAAGGACGGGACGCAGAGGTTCCCGCGGTGGAGGGACGCGGCTGTCGCTGTGTATCGGGAGCAGGGGGCTAGAGGGTACTGGAGGGGCTTCCTGCCCTGCTTTTTGAGGGCGTTCCCGGCGAATGCGATGGCCTTGCTGGCGTTTGAGGGGGTTATGAGAGCGCTGCCTGAGTGAGACTGGAGTGGTGGGAGTGGAATGCGACTTGTACAGATTTCGGCCGCGTTATGTGAGCAGGTTTATTTGGGAATAGAAAGGACGGAAAGCGCTTGTGTACGGATAGCGTGTGTAGTCGCATGTACGATATCAGGCAGACATAGAGATACCCATAGATCACGGCGGGGGAACAGTTTTTGGTTTCGCCGTCGACAGAACGGCGTTGGAGAGAATCTCCCCTTTTGATTTGACCCTGGTCGCTATGCGACACGCACAGCCCGTCTATCCTTTTGAATGCCGTCCTCCCAGTAAAGACCTGCCAGACTCCATGCAAATCCCGGTGATGATCCCTTACTCGTCGTCCTCCTCGGCGTCGTCGTTGACGACGTTGAAGAACTTGAGCTCGTACACTCCCTTAGAGGTGGAGACGACACGGAGCCAGTCACGGAGCTGCTGCTTCTTGAGGAACTTCTTGGTGCTGTACAGTCGCCGTTAGCAAAGTGCTCCTTTGGACCATGTTCGCGCAAATATGCGGGGGGCCACTAACAGGTACTTGAGGTAGCGGCCGGACAGCTCGTTGTGGGCAAGGATCTCGACCTTGCCCTCGCCCTGCTGGGAGATCTTGATGGTCTCGCCGAGGTTGCCGACGCGGCCGTCAACCTTGATCTTCTCGTTCAGGAACTTCTCGAAGGCCGAGACGTCGAAGATCTTGTCGCTGGCGGGCTGCGAGGCGTTGATGACGAACTGGACACACCAAGTCAGCGACGAGCTTTCAGGCAAGAGACTCGGATTGACTGACCTTCTTGGTCACCTTGGGGCCCTTGGCCTTGGCGCCAGACTTCTTCTATACAACACATGAACCTTAGCCTACTGTTTCACGCCATGATCGCTCAGGCAACTTGTGCTGAGGGACTGGGCCAACAGCAAAGCGGTGGTGTCATATACATACTGCGATGGGAGCCATTGCTTCGTTTGTGGGATTGAGACGCAAAGAGGTTGATATCCTACGTCTGGCTGGTGAGCTTGAGGTCGAGTTGGTGGTTGTCTGGAACTGCAGGCTTGAATTATCGGCTTGTGGGTGTCGAATTGTCGCGAAATTTTAGGGTTCGGCAAAAGAATATTGCGGGTGGGGCCATTCCACCCCGCCGCCTGGGACACCTTCGATAAGGTCCACAGTTGAATCCTGTGTCGGAGAGGCCAACACAATATCACGCTTTGCCTCGCCGAAATAATAAGCAGTACAGAAAATACAACTTGATTAACATATGCAAATGGCAAAAGAAAAGAACATCACCATCATATCTTCAAACCTCAAGACTTCAAACACACAGAAAGGGAGGCAAAAGGTCAAAAAAACTCCCCCACACAGGTTTGAACTGTGGACCTCCTGATGTTTGCTAAGTAACAGTCAGACGCTCTAGCCAACTGAGCTATGGAGGAAGAGCTATTCGAGTCAGCACGTGGCTCGATGGTTGTTTTGGGCCACGGATTTGGATCTCATAAGCCACCTAGTGGAACGGGGTCCGCTTCATCCTCCACCTAAGAAACATATACTATACCTTCTACAGTAAGACATGGAAAGGGGCCGTCACATATGCAACGAAGTATGCTACCTTTCTTACTATAGTGAATTTTTCTAAACAATATCTTCTGCTACGATATGAGTTTACGGCTAGAAGCTTCTTAGTCGAATAGCTATCTTGCACCCGTAGGTGATGTGCCAAATAAGTCCGCTTAGGTCGAAGAAGGGACCTACTGTGGTATGAGCCACTTACATAGGTACTAGAGGAAACCGAGTCCTGTGACAGGAACTGAATCGTAGAATAGTAAAGCTGCTAGATGGAGGACTTCTGCGACCTGCACACAAGGCTGCAGCTGTATGCCGTGAAAGATGGAACATAGAGAAAGTCAACAGGGCGTCCTGTCGACCTTGCACACCCTGCAGCTGAAGACCAATCCCGCTTGAAGCGCTGAATATCAGCGGAAAATGCCGTGTCTTCAACCGCCGCCGTCTACCGGACCCTCATCTCCGTCTCCGCGTTAGGATGACAAGGGATGGTACGAAGTCGTCTTCAGCTCACCGATTCACAAGAGCCAAGACTGAGGCGCGACTCCATGCTGGCCATTGGACGCCAGGAATTATGGCGAAACCCTCCATCGACCCTGAAGATGGTTCCAGACCACGTCCACCCGCAACCACAACATGGTCAGCCAGCCTTAACAGCGATCACCTCGAATGAACATCGTAACCAATACACCGGTGCTCAGAAGCGTACATGTGCAGCATGCATCTGCCTTTCAGCCAGCCTACTGTCTCGATGTTATCGTCAGCTTCATTTCTTCTCACTCTATCAAAGCTCGAACTAACCGAGACGCAGACCTACATCTACATTACTTCGGAGGTGCATGCGATGACTCCTCTTCGAGACACATCTCACCGGATAGAGAGCGGGCGATGTCCAGCCCACGATGTCCTATCCGTGGGGTGTACGGTTGCTTGAGATGCCCTCGCCGTGTATAAATATGGCCGTCATCTCTGTCCGGGTTCACATCGTTCACCAGTCTGCATCATCTGTCAAGTCCCAGACAGTCAACTAGCCACCACAATCACCAGTTGATATTCTTCCTTGTCCCCTCTTCTGTCAACCTAAGATGTCCACTCAGATCCCTCTCGGAAAGGGCTGGGAGAAGCAGCCAGCCGACGACAGAGATTTAATCTACTCGCCGCCTGCCGGTCTTCACATCAAGCCCTCGGTAGACCTGCGCGACACCCACCACATCCAGCGAGAGCCTTACCACCAGGGCCATCTGGGGAGCTGCACGGCTAATGCCATCGCCTCCGCCTTCCAGTACGGCAAGCTCGCCGAGGCCTGGGGCGCCCGGGCAGCGCCGTATCTCCCGTCGCGCCTCTTCATCTGGTACCACGAGCACGTGCTCAATGCTACAGGCAGTGTCGCGCCTCCTGAAGACGAACTTGCCGAGTTACTGTACACCAACAAGCGTACGACCCTCGCCATCACTGATAAGGACGGAAACCAGAAGTCGGTAACCAGGGACGCCATCCTCAAGGAAGTCAAGTCCAACACCGGCGCCTTCATTCGTGATGGCTTCAAGACCGTGATCAAGTACGGCTTCTGTTCAGAGACCACCTGGCCGTACAACGAGGAAGACTTCTGGACCGTTCCCAAAGAAGCTCTGCAAGAGGCCAAGACGTTCGCCGCACCAGAGTTCACTTACTGGCGCATTCCCGACTACCAGACTGACGGCGTCCACAAAGCAGACGTGATTCCGCAGATGGAGGCCGCGCTCTCAGAAGGTTATGCCATCGTCTTTGGTTTCTCGGGCTCCTATCTCAGCGCTAACCTCGGCCTCAATGACAAGGGTGTCAGCATCGGGTTGGACGACAAGAACGTCTTCAAGGGCTGGATCAAGGATGGAGAACGGCGCAAGGACATCTGGGGTCATGCGGTGCTCTGTGTCGGCTATGACCGCAAGAACAAGCAGTTCTTGATCTTGAATTCGTGGGGTCCCAAGTTCGGAGATAAGGGGTACTTCTATATGCCGTATCGCTGGTTCGATGCTAAAGAAGGGATTTTTACCACCAGCCAGGGCGACAACTGGGCGCGGACGAACGATCTGTGGGTGCTCAAGAGTCCTCGACAGGCCGCTGGGACAGCTGGATCCGATGTCACTCGAGAGACTTCACTGAACGAGTGAGCACAGGCGCTGTTCAGGTAATGTTATCGGGGTTAGCCATAGCGGTAGTCGTTGTGATAGAACACGCGTCTCATAATGTATTCTCATCTGCACCTTCTTCACCATGTGCCAGTACTCTTCGCCCGGACGTGGCCAAACCCCCTTCAGTCTACCTGGCTTAAACCAAACATGAGATCTCTCATAGTACATAGACTCGAATTGCAGTGGTCAGCCAGGAGTGAATTCGCATGGTCAATTTCAAGGAACAATTGATGATGAAATACAACCACGAAGATCGACGTTTGCATGTCATCTTGTCGTAACGGCGTGAAACAGTGTTAGTCACAAGTGTCACGGTCCCTCTTCAAGATCCCGGTTCTTGGCAACGGGAGCCAAGCCGCCAAGAAACCAAGCCACAGCCATGTGCTGCGCCACGTACGCCACAGCGATCGGCGGGGCTAGCGAGGCGCGTGCGCAAGAGAGTGCCGGAACGTTGCGGCAGTCGCATTGTCTGTAATGACGTAGGCGTGGCTGGCTGTCAACATTCAAACTTTTCAGACCAATGCTAAACGAAAGCGTCGTGCGGAAGACGAGCTAGGAGCCCTCCGTGGCACGGGACGCGCAAGGAGGCTGGGCACTTCCCTGGGCTACTGAGATGCCGAACTTTCCGCTTGCAACGAATTCCAGACATTCCACCTTCTCTCAGCTGCTTACCGTAGACTTCCGAGTACTGTAGCAGTGTAGTAGAGCTTCCAACGCGAGACACAGAAGAGGTGAGAGCAAGCTTTGCCGGACTAAGGAAGGAATGATGTGCAACACGTGTAAAGTTCAGGTACGAACAGTGGATTACAATTGGAAGGAGGTTCATGCTGGCTCGTGACTCCTGGTGGTCCAAAGTGGTTAGACGTGTATGACGCAGTTGTCGCTTATTCAAGTTCCAGTGCCCTTGCTTGCCACGAACCTGCGGACCAAGACCTGCAAGAGCAACATTGATCCGCTGATTCCTTGCTTTCCAACGGTTTAAGCTGTATTTAAGTTCTTCTGCCGCCCGCTCCCTACTGTACCATTCTCTCTCACATCTTGACCAAAACTTCCAATTGCTCACCGACCAAGCTTCCCCAACACTTCGCCCAAACAACTTTCGTTTTCCCATATCAACAGACAACTGCGCAGCACTACATACCAGTCTACGCACGGTAGAACACAAACTCAATCACAATGGCTTTCACCGCAAGGTAAGAATAATGCTCTGCCCAGCGGGCTTGCGGCTTGCGGCTCGCTCTCGGAACTTTCGGTGCTCTCGATGGCGCAAGTGCTGACTCAGGATTTCATCACAGCGACATCTGCAAGATCATCCTTGCCATCATCCTCCCGCCTCTCGGAGTCTTCCTTGAGCGTGGCTGCGGTGCCGACCTTCTCATCAACATTCTGCTCACCATCCTTGGGTAAGTAACCGGCAACAAGCACCGTCTGCGGTGGGACCGAGCTGACAACCAATCTCTAGATACATCCCCGGCATTATCCACGCCCTCTATATCATTCTGAAGTATTAGGTGCCTCCGGCTGATCGAGGTCCCCGCATGCACAGCGTGACGATTTGGCAGGGGGTTATTGTAGGCGTCTGTCAGATGGCCCGGGAGAAGGTATCGGAAAAATCCCATCGGTTCTAGAGGAATATGTCTTTTGCGGATTGGCGTGCAGCAAGACGTGCAGCGAGGGGTGATGTCGAAGCCAATCCTGTTCCTGGACACATCTCACCCGGCTCTAGCTCCGGGCCTGAGGGTGCATACGAGTTAAACGACATGGGCCAGCAGCAGCAGCAACCTGTCACCGCTGGACCTTCGTCGGCGCCAACGGTTGTCGGAGAGGCTACTCCCAAACCCCCATCACCTGTCAATGAGGCGGCGACGGCTGGACCTTCGTCGGCGCCAACGGTTGTTGAAGAGGCTGCTCCCAAATTACCATCACCTGTCAATGAGGCGGCGCAACTCGACGCGGGAGGAATTGACCCGGTTAATCCTATGTCGGCGGTTGACCCCGCGTTGGCTGGCGTGCTAACCTCGTATGCTCAGGGCTTGGGCATGGGCTTGTGATTCTTTCTTTGTTTGCGAAATGCTTTGCTCGGCAGGTTTTATATTCGGGGCATCCAGGAGGTCTAGTCGATGTCGACCAGCGGTCTGGCATTTAATTAATCAGCGATACCCAACTGCAAATACATCTCATTAACACTACTCGTTGCTTCTGGTCGCGAGTGTACTTGATACCTGTTACATATTTGGCCAGCGTCCCAAGTTTTACATTTACTCCACGACAACGTCCAACCACGTTGGTGGGATCTCTTGCGATGCTGCTCCAAAAGACAAGGACAATACAGCATGATAAACTGCAAGGGGGTTGAATAGTGAATCGATTGATTTGACTGGCAAATGACCCCACTCTCTCTCTCATAAGTAGAATAGATGTCAGTTATACGAAGATAAATGGCGTGTTTATGTTTTGCCCTTGATTCCAAGGTGCCGAGAGCTAGCCCCATACGTTGCTAAGATCACTACAGTCACTCGACCACAACCCCAGTCCTCGGTTGAATCTCCAGGACGAATTGACCTTATAGGCCTGCTGTCTGGAACCGTATGCCGAGGAAGCAAGATGTTGCCCAAACGGAGCACTGATTTTGTCGAGGCACCACCGATGCCACTCCCGCGCGTATGAGTTCAGATCCCTCCGCGCCCGACTTCTCTGTCCAG